GCTACCATGATGCGCTAACCATGATGCTAAAGGTTACATGAGGCCACCTGACTGGAGCCTCCAGAAAATGCGAGCCAAAATAACCGTCACCTCTTTGTGCATGAACGGCCTCAGGTGTTTCATTACAGTGACAGAAAGCTGACTAACAGCTAATGCCATAATAGTATTATACAATAAATCATTCTAAAATTTAGGTGGTAAAACAAGAGTAATTTATATTTGCTACTGCATCTAATAGGTAGGTAGGCGTGTGGGATCTAGTGGGCTTGGCTCTGAGCGACAGATGGCTCAGGTGACTTCCTCGGGGTCACAGTCTCCTCACACCACTGGGCTGGCCTTGGAGGCATCAGAACTTACAGAGGGAGAGGGTATTTCCCAGCAACTCTCTTAGCTTCAATACATACAAACATCTAGCCATATTCCTGTGGACAAATCTGGTCCTGTGATGAAGCCCATCTTCAACAGAGAGAAGACATATTCCAACAGAAAGAATTACAGACCATGGACACAGGTGGAGCCCACTGCAGGGACATGTGGCCCATATGGTGGCACGGACACTGGGCTCAGAAAAGAACCTTTTTGTTTGAATGTTCTGTTATCTAATTCTTGAAATTCTTATTTTTTTTTACACAGAGTCTTATATTGTCATTTTTCACTGGACCCTGAAGACTTTGAAGTCATCCCTGGGACACAGTGTGCAAGTGTTTGTGCATCCACGTGTGTGGCAAATTGAAACTACAGGGCCTTCTCATTTAACAGAAGTGACTTCCGCTGGACAAGTGGTGGCTTTGGGAGCCACATCATAGAGTTTCTGCATAGACTTAACTGATACTGGCAGCTTTGCTTCATACCTGGGCTCCTCCCTGTGACACAGGCGCCATCTGGGAAGCTTGGGTCAGGGAGCATTTGGGGGAGTACCTGTATTCTCACTGCCTCTGTGATTGCCCCAGTGTTGAACCCAGAACACCCATCTCTCCCAATTATCCCCCTGGAATCAGGTCTACTACCTCCACAAACCCTGCCCACTCCTGCCCATCTCAGTGAGAATCCTCAAGAGGAGACTGAAGTTGTCTACACACAAGAGCTGATTCCATCCACTAACACCAGAAAACCTGCCGTGGAACCAGACACAACACTCTTGGAGAAACTAGGACATGAAGAAGGATCCCAGAGAGATGTCCCAAACTAAGCAGTTAAATCCCTTACCTTGGGCAAGATCAGCTAAACTCACAATCATCATGGCCTTGGCTCTTCTACTAGCCAAAGGAACCTCAGGACTACCAAATCCGAGGCCTGGGGATCACTGCCGATAAAGCAAGCCCCTCTTTATGCTCATCCCAACTCTTTTGTTCCCACTTAAGCTCTTCCCTGAGACCACTCTGAACTCACAGGTGCAGCAGGCTGCCCCTCCCAAGTCTGCCTGCCACAAGAAGCCTATGTATACCTGGGAACAGCCACCAAACCTTCCACGATGTCTCTCCCAAACAGAGTGTGTCACAGCCCACGGAGCCTACTACATGCCTGGTAGAGAGAGTTGCATGAGCACCCACAAAACATGAATCACACGCAAAGTTGACACCAGCACCCTGCAGTTCAGACAACTACCCGAGGAACACATTTTCCGATAATTCTAGAGCTAAAAATGGAGCCACTTTGCACCCCTTTCCTTTCTCGCAAAAAGGCAGAGGAGGTGGCTTAGCAGCAATCAGCGCGGAGACGCATCCATTGTGAGCTGTTTGGGAAGCTGGTTCCAAGGAATTTCTTGGAAGGTACAATTCCCAGAAGGTGGTACTGCTAACTAGATCCACAGGGCCTTCACGCTATCCCTAGCATGGGCTCGCAGCTTGGGAATCTGGATGTAGCCTGTTTGAAACATGAACAGATAGCAGGGAGTGGCCCAGGCTGTACCACTTTTGTTCACAACCTTGTCTCCAAAACATTGAATGTTACTTACCTAAGATTATGGGAGAATGTCATCAGGCAAAGCATCATCTCAGCCTGTGTGCCCAAGGAGATGCCATAGGATTTTAGGAGGAATGAAGGGCAGGTCACTAACAATGACATTTAATAGTGTTGAGTACATGTGAACTGCATGTGTGTGTTATCTAATGAATCTTCAGGATAACGCCATGAGGATGAAGTGCTATTGTTCTTACTTACAAGTCACCCTGAGGCCTGGGGATGTAACTCAGTGGTAGAACACTTGCCTTGCATGCCTGAGGCACAATACTCAGGACATTCAATACTCAATGTCACCCTCCTGAAAGAAAAGAGGGTCATCCTGGGTCATACCCCACAGGTCACAGAAATGCTAACGGTAGGGGCAGGGTTGGGAGGTGATGTTTGCACACCTCACTGTGGTGGTTTGAATAGGAATCCCCCGCCCCAGAGGCTCATATATTTGAATGCTTAGTTACCAAGGAGTGGCACTATTTGAAAGGATTAGAAGGATTAAAAGGTGTGTCCCTGATGGAGGAAGTATGTCACTAGGAATGGGCATTGTGGCATACACCTGTAATCCCAGCACTAGTAATATGAATGTGGAGGCAGGAGGATGAGGAGTTCAAGGCCAACCTTTGCTACATTGTGAGGTCAAGACCAGCTTAAGCTCCATCATGAGACCCTGTCACCCTGTCACATACACAGAGGGGGGGGGGGGGGGAGGGAGGGAGAGAGAGAAAGAGAGAGGGAGAGAGAGAAAGAGAGAGAGAGAGAGAGAGAGAGAGAGAGAGAGAGAGAGAGAATAAATAAATGCCATCTTTAAGGGGCAAGAGCAGTACATCATAGATAGTTGGTACTGTCCTGGCATCCTCAAATGAAGACTGTGGCAGCGCTCCTAACAAGAGGAACAAACTATCTATTATTCATTCACTTAGTAAACACAGAGTGAGCGTCTTCAATAGGCTGCATGCCACCTTTCAGTCATTGTCACCATATCCGACTGTCAACTCAACATCACCCAACCTTCCCAAGCATTCACTGTCACCATATCCGATGGTCAACTCAACATCTCTGATCTTCCCAAGCATTCCAGTAGCAGAAACAGACCTCATGCCTAGAACACTTGGACACATCTGTGGGAATAGCCTATAAAGTTACCAAGTTAAGCTAAAGAAGATTCTCAGTGGCTAGGTGCAGAAGTCTCAACAACTCAAAATTGTACCCAGAAAGAAACTGTGTTCTGCTGACATTAATGAAAATGGTCTTGAGTACCCAGGGCAGGCAGACACAATGGCAAAGGATATACAGTAGCATCTTAAGCCGAAAGCCAGGCTTGGGGCAAGAGCATGGAGCAGAAGGCAGACTCCTGGAAGCAATAACACAGTGGGCACTTGACTGGTACCTGCCTTGTTAGCCCCATAGTGCTGGCCACTCCATGGAGCCAGAGAACCATGAGGCCGCAGGGGAATGATCTTACACAGCTACTGAGCCTGAGTCCATCAGCTCTCTGATGTCTAGCTGGCTTGGACTGTCTTCCCTGGTGTTGCCCACTGCAGCAAGCAGCAGTTGTGTCTAACTAGCATCAGAGGCAGCAGCCAGAAAGGAAGGAGCAAGGAAAAGGCACTTGGAATACAGTATTTGCCATGTAAACTGCTTTCCTCTGCTGCTTAGCGGGGGCAGATGCAAACCACATGCAGATTTGCCTATGTCAAAGCTAATCCATGGATAGCTCGCATCACATCCTCGCTCTGACCTTGGAAATGCCTAGAGCATAAGACTGTAGGCAGCAGGACCTCGATGGGGCAACGGGTGGCCATTGCCTCCTGTGGTCAGTCTGCAGCCAGGCAGCAGAGGGTTGAGCAAGGCTAAGGGATGTGACTGTGAGTGATCACGTGATAGAGAACACAGGGTGACACACTCAGGATGGGAGGGCGCCTGAGAGACAGCAGTTCGATTTTTGTCTCCCTCAGGCCTGTGTCACTTAGGCATTATCTTAACGAGCACACCAGAGGACACGGAGCTGATGGCTGGAGTCTGCTGCTGGTGTCTGTGATATTATCTAGGAAGTAATTTGCACATTTTTAATGCAAATTATATGCTATTTTCTTAATCATTCTTTATTCCTTGGATCACTAGTATTTCCAAATGCATGCTCTTATCTGAGCATGCATCCCTGCTGAGACAAATAAGAGGCAGGATTCTAACAGACTGGGTTTCTTAGCTAACATTAAAGGGCAAGTTATTAGCCAGAGAAATGATGGGCTTCTAGATTCGGCTCCCTCCAACAAAAGATGCAGAAGAACTTCACAACTTTGTAAAAGTCTTCCCCTAGTGCCAGTGTTGGTGGGGCTCTTCGTTTTGCAAAAGGCTGTATTTGGGCAGACAATGGCTTCCCTGTGGCCAGTTACCCTCCACTCTGTACTGAGGTTGGGGACAGCCATTGGCTCAAGGCCATGGACCTTGGTTATTTCACCCATGAGTCCCTCTTCTCTAAGCTTTGCTGACTGACTTTCCTGACTAGAGGAGGGCGGAATTGAACAATGCCAAACGCCCAGCCTGGGTGGCATGTGTGCACGCGTGTTTCCAGAAGAAGCTTGGGACAGCTGTGGTCTACTGTCCCCCTTTGACAGCACGTTCCTGGCCTACCCCTTCACCTCACTCAGTGATCCTGCCAAAAGGCCAGACTGCAAAGCTGAGTGACAGGTTCGAACCTCAAGACACCCAGCGTCTAGTTAAAATCTTCCTATGTCAGAAGGTGTCATTAAAATCCAGAGCCCAGCACAGACAGGAACAAAGACTGGGGAGTGCCAGGAGCTTTAAATGTCAGCCACCATCATACGGAAAAGGGACACCCTGCAACTGCAACCAGAGAGCCCCTAACATGGCCAGTGTCTTGCTGACACCAGCTGAACAACTTCCTGCAATTAGTTCCTATAGCCTCTGAGGGTTTCCAAAGAGCTGAGCCTGCTCCCACCCTGCCCTCCCTGCTGCCATTCACCCAATGTCCCCTCGTGCCATGCCATGACCCTCCCTCCATCCACCTGGAGGACCCCTCTGACCTTTCTCAGGAGAAAGCAGATGCGTTCGATGTTCCTCAGTCGCTCCCTCTAAGGAGGCGCAAGAAAGAAAGGAAACAGGAGGTTAAGGGTGAATTGTGAGTGTGTAAGAAGCACATAGCCTACCCCAGAAGAGGAAGACACATCCCAGGGACAGCTAGCGGTTCTCCCCGGCAGAATCTGAGCCTCTTGCTTTACCCTATCAGAGTCACTTGCTTTTTGCTCTTTTATTCTGTTTTGTTTTCTTGTTGTTTTTGGAGACAGGGCTGTAGCACAGGCTATGCTGGAGACAGGGCTGTAGCACAGGCTATCTTGGAGACAGGGCTGTAGCACAGGCTATCTTGGAGACAGGGCTGTAGCACAGGCTATGCTGGAGCTCACTGTGTCACCTCAGTTGGCCTTAAACTCGTGACACTCCTCCTGTGCCAGTCTCCCAAGTGCTGGCTTTACAGGCACGAGCCACCTTACCTGGTAGAAATTTGCTCTTAAAAGAACTCTGCTGGCAGGCTGGGGAGGTGATTCAGAGGGTAGTGTCCACTACAGCCATGAGGGCCTAAGTTCAGGTCCCAGAACCCATGTAATGAGCCAGTTGTAATGGCATGAACCTGTAATCTCAGTGCCAGGGAGGCACAGACAAGAGGATCCCTGGGACTTGCTCACCAGCCAGTCTAGCCAAATCTAAGACTTCCAGATTCATTGAGAGATTCTGCCATTTATTATGATGATGACTTAATTGTGTGATGTGTGTGTGTATGCATGAGTGTGTGAAATACGGGTATGTGCACATGAGTGCAGGTATCTACAGAGCCCAGAAGAGGGCATCAGATCCCCTGTAGCTAGAGTTACAACCTATGTGAGCTCTAGGAACCAAACTCAGGTCCTCTGCAAGAGCAGGACAGACCCTTAACCACTGAGCCACCTTTCCAGCCCTATAACAGAGCCCACCTTAAAAAGCAAAAACAAGTGTGGCACACACCTCTAGTCCCAGCACTTGGGAGGCAGAGGCAGGAGGATCTCTGTAAGTTCATGGCCAGCCTGGTCTACAATAGCTAGCCCAGGACAGACTCCAAAGGTACAGAGAAATTCTGTCTCAAAACAACCAAAAATAAATAAATAAATAAATAAATAAATAAATAAATAAATAAAAAACAAAACAAACAAAACTGTGCAGAGAAACAGAGGAAGACATATGACATCAAGCTCTGGCCTCAACATGTATGTGCAAATGTATTTGCACATATGGGCACACACATGAACATGTAAACACATAGTATACCTCTATCTTTAAAAAAAACACTCGTGGCAAAAGCATGCATTCTTCTTTCCCATCCAGTATTCAAGTCTTCATGCACACACAGATGGTCTGCATGCAGGGTGGGCACCATATGCTACTTTGTATCTCAGGCACAGGACACCTTCCTGGATCTAGAAGAGCAGTAAACTTATATCTTCATTAGGGGATGCTACCTTGCTTTGCTTTTTCCAAGTGAGTGTACTTGGAGGAAGCAAGCCCTCCCTAGAGTCAGGCTACCAACTGTGCCCTGGGCTATGAGTTTTCTAGACGTCAAGTCCATCTGTCTCCAAGGACTGGCTCATTTCCAGGGGAAGATGTTATGAAGCTGAACAGAGGACGCTGCCCGCAGCAGACGTTAAATGCCCCAGCTTCCTCTCTCTGCTATAACTGTCAAGATTTCTGAGCCACGATGAACACAGCTGTGGCATCTCTGGTGCTTCATTACCGAAGCACTTTGGCTGCTGTAGACATAATGGTAATGAGTTTCCTTGTGGATCAGGAGAGGACAGGTGGCTGGGACACTTCAGTTTCCCTAATTGAATCATAATACAGCGATCTCTGTGTAGCCCGTAAACCTAGAGGAAGGAGCCACGTCAGGACGAGCAATTGCCCACATGTCGGGGAAGACAAGCCACACACGTGAGAGAGTTCATGCAGATGCACACACAACCAAGAGTCACACATACTCCAGCAAGTCAGAGCCCTGAAGGAAAACACCAACCCTCCTGTGATAGAGACTTCTTAGTGGGGGTGGAAGATGGAAAGGGAACTCCCAACCACCCCCCCCCCGCCTCCGTGCCCCTGGAAGAGGTCCACCAAAACATCCACCAATACTAGAACTTTTAGAGCACGTTAAATCTAAGGGACACGGGTTGTAGCTCAGTGGTAGAGGACTTCCCTGGAATGCCCAAAGATCTGAGGTCTGTAAGTCTCAGAGCCTGAATGCTGCTCTCTTCTGGGGGCCTCCAGGAGGCCAGAGGGCTGGCGACAGCTCAATGAAGTGGCTGGAGCATTCCATTCCCTGCTGGGAAATAATGTCCCGAAGACAGGGAGAATCGTAACGTGTCTATATGCTCGCCTAATTACAGCTTTCAAGATTTTTCGGTTTTGTTTTTAATCCCTCTCCCCCAGGGACACCTCAGGCTTTGGTCTGTCCATGTCTGGGCTTCACAGAACTCCACTCCTTAATTAATCTGATAAGTAATTAGAAATGTTGCCATAATAGGAGCTTACAAAAAATAAACAGAGCTGGAACGTAGTTCAGTGGTGAAGCATTTGTCTCGTGTATATGCGAAGACTTGGGCTCCATCCCAGAACCACAGGAAGAGAAAGGGGTAGAGGTCCATGCCTTCATCCTGTGGTACCCATTTCTGTTTCTGGCAAGTAGTTCTGGGTGCTCCTAGTGACTGCTTTTCTGCACTGTCTTTACAGAAGCAACCCACACACCCACTCCTTAAGGGGCAGCAGGTATGCACACACACATACACACTCCCTAAGGGGCAGCAGGTATGCAAGTCTTAACATAGTGCCAAAATAAAGGAGTTGTCCTGATGAGCCAAAAGCAGACTCCACAAAAGCGTCTCCAGGTTTCACCAGGTGTCCACAACCTGGCACGGAACTGACATGATGGAAACAAGGGGCTGGGAAGATCTCCCCACTTATTCTTCTTGGGAATCCTACCAGAAAAACTCCAGACAAGCTGGAGGAGGGCTCAGGCTCCTGACTTCCTGGCGTTGAGAAACGAACATGCTTGGCTTCAAGCCAGTCTGAGCGCCTATGGGTACCGATGAGCAGGTGTGTGCTGTTGATGCCAAACTCAGTGTCCAGAAAGACATGAGACCCTGGGCAAAAAAACAGCCAGGCCTGGCAGAGCCAAGTTTTCACAGGTGGGTGGTGAGGCTGGCAGAGGAGAATAAAATGGGTTTTAAAAATTACAACTTTTATGAAGTACACTAAGCTTTCAAGTGGTTCTTAAGGTTCTTAGTTACTTTCAACTAACCCAGTTTGCTTTTTATAGCTGACTTTGAAAGAGTTTGGCTTTACTTTATAGAATCAGAGGCTGTGATGCCAAAGCAGGGCTTAGATATAAAGTCAAGTCATTTCCAAAACCATCTTGAGTTGGTGGTCAGAAGACAGGCTTTGGAGTTGAGTAGAGTGGGGTTCCAGACCTGAGACCCAGAAGCAGAACCCAGAGTTCTTCAAGCAGATTACACCAGATTCCCTGGTGCGTGAGCTGACCCGAAGACTCAGGCATGAGAGATGAAAGTCCACCAGATAATGGGGCTGTACCTGGTGCTGCACCCATCCATTTACCTCCCATGAGAAATCCAACTATTGCCCACCTCCTGCAGAGCAAGAGGTTCATACATGATACTTGCACACCCTACAGACATGCTTGCCAACACAGAGCCTTTGTCTATGGTCATAGATAAGGAACCAAAAATCACCGGCATCAGACTTTGAGGACTCAGCACCACCATCTAGCAGATCCCCCCCACCCACCCACCCAGGCTACAGGAACTGCCACACTTGACTGGCAATGTATTGCAAGAGCTCAACAGACCTCAGCAAGGAGACCCTGGAGCAACTATCAGCAAGGAGTATAGGCAGGACCAGGACAGTATATTCTGCTCTTTAACCCTCCCCCCATCTTTCGCGAACCCGGGGACATGTGGGGACACTCCCTGCCCACCACTGGCACCATTACTTACCGCGTGGACAGGGTTGCACTGGTCTATGGGACTCTTAAAATCCGTCCTTAACTCGTCAAAGGCGATTATCTGAAAGAAAACACATACAATCAGGATACTGTGCACATGCGGTCAGTGCCACTACCAAAACCTTCCTGCGGCTCTGCTGCCCCCAGACACCCTAGGAGGAGAGGACGGGATGGAGGCCACACAAAGCTGGCCAGGAGCTGGCCACTGTCAAAACTGGCAATGGGCACATACATTTTTTGTCTTCTGTCTATGATGCTTGACTTGAAACTTCCCAAGTAACTTTTTTTTTAACATTTTATTTTCCTTATGCAACCTGTACAAAGATGTGGAAAAACTATTCTGATGGAGCTAAGTCTGGTAAAGGCATAAAAATGTAAAACTTCCAACCAGCACTTTTAGCATCGTCCCTGACAGGCACTGCAGCCAGGTTGTTTGTCTCTTTGCTTGTTTGTATTCTATTTGGCAGAAATGCCAACTGTCAGTCAAAAAAAGTCAGGGGAAAGGAAGGGAAGAAACGGGAAGCTAAACTGTCACAAGGAGAAACAATCCCCATCTCTAAATGTCCAAAGACTGGATCAGCAGCCCCAGGCAGGCTAGGCCCACTACTGCGGTCTCTGGAGGCTCATCTGGGCATACGCTCCAAGCTCTCTAGGGAGCTATGGCTCCCCATTTGTCAGAGGAGGAGGATAGGGAGGGGACCTTCTGCTATCGCAGGATGAGGCATGTCCCCTCCGCAGCAGGAACCAGATGAGGGTAAAGGCCCTCAAGGCCTCATCCTAACCCAGCCATCCGTACCCCTACAGGGGCTAAATGGCAGAAGCAGAGGTGTTTGACCCAGGGGCTCTCCTTTCTTGGGGACAGGCTTTGGGTATTCTCAGCAAAGCAAAGTCTCTTCGGAGCTGTAGTTTGGATCTTGAATGTTATCTGAAGGTTCATCCATGTGTTAAGGGGTTGTTGGTACCCAGCCCGTGGCATTCTTGGTTTGGTTTTTGTTAGGTTGTTTGATTGGTTGGTTAGGTGGGTGGGTGGCCGAGTATGTGGGTGAGATGAGATTTTTTTTGTTTTTTTGAGACAGAAGTCCATGTATCCTGGACTGACTTCCAACTTTCTATATATCTGGGGAAGACTTTGAACTTCTGATTCTCCTGCCTGCATCTCTTAAATGCTGAGAATGAGTATGTGTATTCCCACGCTTGATTCATACAATGCTGGGGATGTAACTCAGAGCTCCAGGCTCTACTAACTGAGAGCAAGCACTCTACTCACTGAGCTACGGCCTAGACCATTGACATATTGGGTAGTGAAAACCTTTAAGAATTAGGGCGTAGTGATGTAAGACTTTTTTTTTTTAGTTTTATTGGGCTGCTTTTGTTTTTTGTTTTCCTTCCTGACCACTTGACAGTGCAGAGGTGAACAGGCCTCCTCTACCACATGGCTCCCTTTCCATCATGTTCTGTATGACCACAGGTTCAAAATCATGCCAGTAAACCACGAGCTAAATCATCTGATGACGCCAAGCGTTAACCCAAACCCTCTTCCTTGTAAATTGTCTATCCCAAGTATTCTGCCACAGTAAGAGAAAGATAATTGCCACACCTACTGAGCATCAATGAACTTACTGTCCACTAAGGTACACTTTGGGGAAGCCTGAATATGTGGCAGAAATTATGAAGCAAGGAAGCCAGGTTAGCACCCGGGCAGCTCCTAACCCAGTCCTATGTGGCCAAGACTAAGAGCCAAGTAAGGGTGGGCGACTGTATTAACAGCACGGAGATGTTCCCCTTAACTTCAACACCTCTGCAGAATTGGGGGAACACACAGCATAACTTGAGCCAAGAGAACATCCCCACACCACCTCTGATGGACAGTTGGTCTATCTAGCCAGGACTTCTCAGGGTGATCATTGTGCTGCTGGCTTCATCAAGCTGGGCATCATCTGATTCTCCCTAAATCATCCACCCACAGCCAAGGTCAGAGCACTGAGCTACAGCCTGCAGGCCAGGCCAGCCTGCCACCCACCCACTCTCCCATAACCTGTGGGCTAAAAATGACTCTCACACTTTTTTAAAGAGTTGAAAAATATCATCAAAAGAAAAATACTGTTTTTGTAACATGTAAAAAAAAATATGCTGAATTCAAACCTTGGTTCCACAGGGAGAGTTTTACTGGTGCTTGGCCATGTTCAATTCTCTTCCTGTATGCTAATTTTAAAGACTCTAAGGTAGGGGTGAGACAAATATATCTGCTAACATGTATCTTAGAGAAAACAGTTGACCCCTGGTCTGTTCTTGCATTTGTCCTCTAGAGGAGTGACTCTCCATCTTCCTATTGCTGCAGCCCTTTAATACAGCCCTCATGTAGTGGTGACCCCCCAACCATAAGATTATTGTCATTGCTACTTTATAACACAAGTTTGCTACTGTGATGAATCGTAATGTAAAATTTTGGTGATAGAGGTTTGCCAAAGGATGCATCCCACAGGTTGAGAACCACTGCTCTAGGGGTGGTATCCCATGTAACAGTCACTGACCATGTGGACCAATACTTCAGTTTAAAATTGTGTTGTCTAAAATTCAATCTGTAGTTATTGGTTAATTGTTAAAACAATAAAACTACCAGGGCTCTGGGGAGATGGCTCAGGTGGTAACATGTTTACCACACAAGCATGGGGGTGAGGCTGAAGTTAATGCCCAGTATCTCTGTAACAGCTGAGGAACACGGTAATGCCAGAATGGGGAAGGCAGAAACAGGAGGATCCCAGGGGCTGACTAGCCAACCAAACTGTACAAATCTGTGAGCCCTAAGTTCAGTGAGGGAGCATAAAGCAAAGTGGAGAACAACTAAAAAGATATCTGTGCACACGCAGACACAAATGTATATACACACGATCATGCACCGCTACTACACACACACACACACACACATATGCATGCACATACACACAGCCACGTAAGTCTGTTATATATCACACAGCTCATGTATCAAAACAGTTCAATTCCTGCAGGAATTTCTACAGGGCAGTGCTACAGGAGAGACACATAGGATGAGTTCAGTCTCCCCCACACGGAGTCTGTTAGGGGCTGCCACTAGTGTGACCTTAGCACATCTCTGTTCCCTAAGCAAAATCTCTCCACCCAGTGTTTACACAAACCAGTGCTAAGTCACCTAATCATCCTGATTACCATCCACTGACATGACTGGCTGGACATGTCCACCCCCAAAGTGCGCCTATCAGAACTGAACACTATATCCAAGGTGAGGTTGGTTGGCACAGAGCAAGAGCATTGGTCACCATCTCTGCTCTGCACCCCAGGCCTCTGTAAATGCATTTCAGCTGTACCAGCCCTGGATCTTCTCCTTGTGCTCCAGTTAAGCTCAGTCCGCCCCATTCTACTTGAGTATGGTTGGCTTTGGGAGCCTGAGAGCAGACAGGGACCTTTGTCCCCATTCACTCTTCCTCAATTCCCCAGTCCAATCTTTTGAGACACAACCTGTCTCCCAACTGTATACCCTGATAAACGCAATGTCCTCAGTATCCCCATTAGTACCACCACCCACTGTGTACTCAGAACAGGACCATGGACAGAGACATCCTCCCTCCTTCTCCACCTCCTGTCATTCTCCAGCACCAGGGAGGCTAACTTTAGTGCTTCCTGGGCCTGATATTTATCCTGCTAGAAAGATCCTGTTTCCACCCAGCCCCATGCCTGAATCTCTGTCCCTATACAACAGAGCACAGGCAGGCGAGCCTGGGCTTACTGGGGCAGGAGCGGCCAGTGGTAAAGCAAGACAGATGAGCTGCTGGGGATCTTGAGACACTCATCCCGTGCCTGGGCTCCAACCCAGAGGAGGGTGGCGGCGGGAAGGTTGTGGGTGCAGTTCATGCCAGTGAGCTCCACCCCGTGTGAGCTATGACCTGGCTACTTCCTGAGACAGTCAGCGTCTTCAGCATCCCCACCATCCCAGTGTCACAGCTGAACTGTCTACTCAGTCGGAAAGCTTCGGGAGGCATCTTTTATACTCAGGTCCTAGGACGGTCACGTGGAGATACTAAACTCCACAAGACACAGCTCCTGAGCTCATGATGTGCCCTGCCTGCAGCAGGAGGGGACATGCACACAAACAGATCAATGTATTACCAGTGTAGTCAGGGCCAGGACCAAGACAATCACTGTATTCCTCACAGGGTTACCATGTCAGGTGCTGGGCCACGTACTGCACAAACTTGTGTCATTTAGTCCTTGGACTCCTCATAGAAGAGGCCTGTTATTGCCCCCATTGTAGAGATGGAGAGCGAAGCCAAATGTCATTAATGACGCTAGTGCCAGATGAGACACCAAGACACAAATCCAGGAAGTAGCCACAGGCTGTTCCACAGACTATACATATGGAGGAGGAAGTGGGGACTCTAAGTTACAGGGAAGGATGAGCAACTTGCCAGGGAAACAGAGTGCAGTCTCCCAAGGGACAGATTTGGGTCATCCTCTGCCTGTCCAGATCTCAAGCAGACTCCTCGGTCCTGCCTCCTGCTTGTGTCTGGGAATAGGGGCAGTGTGGCAGAGGGCAATCCTCAGGCTCCAAAACCTGAGTGTGAGAGGCTCAAGGAACCACTGCGATTGAAGGTGGCAAGACAAATGGCTGAGACTCAGTTATGCACACTTGAGCCTCCTGTGAATCCCGCTAATCCACTGAACAGTGTAGCCCAGCACCAAACAGTATTAGGTGAACTTGAACTCCTGGCTCAGAGACACACATCGAACCTCACACTCATATCTCAAAATGTAATATAGTAAAGCTCACTCTTTTAGTGAAAATTCCTTAAATCTCAATAATGCACAGTCCTGCGGAGTTGTGCTGTGTGCCGTGGGGGTGATACATTGTTTTTAATTGCACACCAGCACTATGTTGATGATACACTGCATCTAGTGTTACCCCACCCCCTTCTCCTGACTCCGGGAGTCAAATGCTCTCCCACCCCTATCACTGCTTCCTGCCCAGCAATCACCAATGTCTGCCTCATCTCTAAAGCTTTGCCTTTGTCCAGATGTCACAGAAATGGA